CCAAAGAAAAAAAGTAACGCAGTTACTAGTAAAGTTACCAAAAAAGTAACTTGTAACTGTAACTTCGTTACAAGTAACGAGTTACTTCCATTCCCTGTCCGAAAGCTAGTCTATATTATTAAAAGCAATGCAAAAAAAGCTTAGTAGCATAGTACAATTTTGGATGCAAATTCAAGCCACAGCAAAAAATAAATTAGTTTTGGAAAAAAGAATGCAGTTATGACGAAAAAGGGGGATCAAATAAAAATACTAAAAAAATAAAAATTTTAATTATTTTATTAAAATTGTTTAAAGTGCACAAGTTTTGAACGTATTTGACTATAAACGTCAGATATAATATTTAAAAAATTATAACAATTATTTGAAAAATAGGAGTAGTTTCAGGAAACTATAATATGAGCAAATTTCGAAATTCCAGTCTTTTTTACATTTTCCCCTGACTTTTCCCGGTTTCCATGACCAATTTCAATTTCCCTGACTTTTCCCGATTTTCCCGGTTTTCCAGGTCTATGGCAACCCCGCATATATTACATAGACTGCTGATTATCATTGCCAAGACGTTTGCTTTGCAAGGACAGTTACCACATGTACGCATTAATAATAATTTGACATTAATAGCGTGACATATAGTGCCTTTATAAAAATATTATTAAAAAATTATGAAATTGAAATTGAAACATTGTTGTTTATGTAATATTACAATAAATAAAGCATCAAAATGACGGCAGTGTGCTTATAAAACGGTAAAAAATGTTCAATTGAGACGCCTTAGCAACATTAATCAGCAATCCATCAGTGAACAATTACAACAAGGATTTGGACCAATGAAATAAATTTAATTAAATAAATGAAATTCGGTCAAAGCGGATCTCTTAGTGATTAAACATTTCTATGTAAATTTATGTACATATCTGATTTTGTAAATCGCGCGTTAAAATTTTTTTCAGTCTTAAAAAGCAATCATGAGTGGAATTAAAGTAGTATCATTTATTAAATTGATAAGCAGTTTTTATGCTAATAAGCATCTTTATAAGAATAATATTAGTAATCTAATCAAATTGATGTTAATGAGAATCTTAAATCTGCGAATTTGTTGAAAAATACTTGCCTCAGCCGGCAGTGCTTTATTTATCGACACGTTCGAATAAAAGAATTAGCTCTGTTCAGCAGAAAAAAAGAATTTTACAACAGTTGCTTTTTCTGCTGAACGCAGCCATTTATAGAACCACAACATATGTTGCGTTTTCATTAAAAAAAAAACTAACCGTTTTATGTAATACATAATTGCATAAAGTATATCAGTTTTCCTTATTTCCGATGTACAATGTGATTTATATATAATCGCTTGATTATCACATTTATCTTGATTTAATGAGTAGGAAAGATTAATGCTTGCAACATGAATACAATTTTTATTTGCAATCAGAGGTGCAATCGCTTTTATATATCCGGACTATATATACATTTTTCCATTTAAGGATGCTTTATACATATTTTCAAAATGATAAAATTATGAAAAGATTACAGATTATTCTAAATTAGATTATTTAAAAATAAAACAACAAATTTAGTGTCGGCTTACTAACTGGATCATAAATTATTTTAATAATAAATAGTAGTGTGTATTTTTTTAATTTTTGCTCTAATATAGTTTATATTTAAATTGTAAGTATTAAACACATTTTCCAAATTTAATTTTCTTTGCAAGGATTGTACGTGTAATGTATCCTTGAGTCTTGTATAATAAAAAATAATTAAACAAATTGCAGAAAAATTTATACAACAGATATTCTTTTATTTCAAATAACACAAGTAACGAACTCTCGAGAATGTCAAAATATAAAAACAAATAAAGGGCTAGTGAGAGTTACATGCGCGGTTATTAGTACAAAAATAAGAATCGTTTATTATAAAAAAATTATATATAATTAATTACGCATAGATATTTCGGCTTGTTTTCGAGCTATCACCAGTATGTCTAAATATATGTTGTAAATCTCTCACTTCTTCATGGCGAGACGGAAGAGTGGCGAGTTAATCTCTTTCTATTGACAAGTCCAGTGGCAATGAATAACAGATGAAAATCCGTATAGCCATGAAAGACGTGACATCAAAAAATTATCAAAGTTAAAAAATCGGCCCTTCCTGGAGAGCGATTCAATTCTTATGAAGATATAAAAAAATGGCTTGATAAATGAATCGCTTCAAAAGAACCAGATTTCTTCCTTCGAGGAATCTGTTTATTACCTGAAAGGTGGGGGAAAATTGTCGCTTCTGATGGAGCATACTTTGAATAAACTTACTTTGTATTGTTTTGTTTAAATAAATACATCTTTTTCATTAAAAAAGGGCGGAAACTTATTCCCATACCCAATATTTTATATTCAAATAAATAAAAGATAAAGTTATTGTATATATATACAGGAAATATTATACTATATTTATGAAAATTATTAATGCCAGAAAATTATTACTTGGAATGGAAATTTTATGACTACGTTATTTGCATAATGCATTGCTATTAGCCATAAATATATAATATATATTTAAATTCATATCTTATACGATTGAAAGGATAATTTAAACATATGTAAATATCATAGTCGATTTTTTCCCATTACGTAATGAGACAAGCTATCTTATATTATAAGGCATTCATCACACGTAAATGTCAATTTTTTTATTTCGTGCTGAAAGTATAAATAAGATACAGATTTGACTGACCATTCAGTTTCTCTCACGAATTAGTGTGAAAATAAGAGAAGATATGGCTCGATTAAGCTACGTCGTGACGATCATCAGTGTAACACTGATGTGCGTTTTAGCGGAAGAACTGTACTCCGATAAATATGACAACATTGACCCCATAAGTATCCTTCAAAACGATAAATTACGAGATGAATACTACAATTGTTTATTGGAAAAGGCGCCATGCCCGACAGAAAATGCGAAGTTCTTTCAAGGTACACTTATACTCGGAATATTTCAACGAATAAATTTTTACGACAGACTTTAATCAATTAGCAATTAAGTTGTCAACAATTTATACGTATCAATAGTTTTAGAATAATTAATGCCTGCATAAGTAAGAAATTTCTGGCAATAAGCAAAAATAAAAGAAGTATTAAAATAAATAATGTTTTTCAATTAATTTCGAGAAAACATTTTTTCATTTGAGAAACATAAAGTACTAAAAAATTGCGAAAATTATAATAACATATTTTGAACCTTTTCTGTTCTAAACTCTAATATTAAATTGTGCAAAGATTGCGTCATTCGAACGCAATTTAGAAGTAGACATCCCCTATCATATAGGAAATATTACGTTTCATTAGAGGCGAGTTCAGAAGTTATTGTAACGTTTAATTTTTGGAGATAAGTTTTCTAATTTTTTAAAAATAAAAAGAAAAAAACTTATTTTTTAATTTTATTTGTGTAAAAGTTGCATAGATATCATTAAATTTTTATTGCTTCAAACTTAATTTTAAAAAATTTTAGACATACTTGTTAATTAAAACAAAGGAAAAAATAGAAAAAGAAGAGAATTTTATGCTTACTATGAATTAAAATCAATATGTCAATTTAATTTTAGGAATTTTGAGCGAATCTATCCAAACCAAATGTAAGAAATGTACTCAAAAACAAAAGGAACTACTGCTTACGATGAAGAATTGGTATGTACAAAATAAACCTGAACAATGGGAAGCTCTAATTGCAAAGTCTGTCGAGGATATGAAAAAAAAGAACGCTGGTAGATAATTGCTGACATAATTAACAAGGAGAATACGGCAAGATTAGAAAATGTTAATCATTTATAAAATTACTGGATCTAAATATATAGAAACATCTCTTTAAAAAAGATGGGAAATTCTAGATACTCTGATTATAAGTATAATTTGTACTTGTGTTATCATGCAATGAAATAAAATGTATAAATGCATTTAAATTCAATTTTTTTCATAAAAATCATAACTATTAATCTTTTCGATACAAATTAAGTTATTTATTTGCGATTGTAGACGTAATACATATAGGCTGTGCGCTGCCTATTTTAAATGATCTTAGCATTTATGTTCGGTTAGAAAAAGAACGCGAAAAATGTTGAAAAGTAAAAGTACACTTTTTAACTCGTTTTGTGTGGGAGGCAGGTGATAGGAGGGAGGTGATAAGAAGGGCTGTTTAATCTTATGTATATCTTATGTAGGTATATCATTATCCCCATTACTAATATTTTAAAGAAAGATCAACACACACAAAGCTTTCTCTCTTTCTAAATCAACACAGACAATTTTATTGGAATGCTCAGCCTACATACCTATTACGTCTGCATTTTTATTTAATTTAATGATATGTATAATGCCAATATTTTTATTTAATAAATGTGAATGTGAACCGCTTACCGATTCTTTAATATGGTTGATTCTTATATTTCGTTCTTCGCTCTAACAGTAGGTGTAGGAGCTAAAAATGTAATAAAAAATAACTGAACGTTTATTGAACAGCTGTTACTGCTAAACTCTCTCACAATCAGTCATACTAAAATGTACTCAGATGGTATTCTATTTCTTATTGTCATATAAAAAGAAATTAATATTTAAGTTTGTTTATATATCGTATTGTTATTTCATTTTGAAAACCATTAGATATCTAAAGACCATCTTGTATATAAAAGTTCATTACATATAAACCTGATACTTATAATTTAGACTGTTTGTACTTTTACGTAACGAGAATTGGGCACGTATTGCAACGATCTCACATATCGGACGTATTCTGTACGTAAGTAAATTTCGATTCAAACCCGAGAAGAAATTACAAAAAAAAACGCAATGTCCCTTGCACATGCCGTGAAGAAACTGCAATAGAAATATTAAATTAGCGAAAAATTAAAGATTATCAAAAGATAAGGAATTAAGATAGCCCAGACAGAAGAAATGCTACAGAAGAAATGCTACAGAAGAGAAGCTCGAAACATAACGTGTGAAGGGAAAATTAAGAAGAGTATTCGAAAATGTTTGAAATTAATGCACGGTCGTTAATAATAAATATTCATTCCAACGTTATTCTTTCTCCTACTCTATAGAGCGTTAAGAACTGGCTTTTGATTTCCCTACTACAACTTTCTTCTCCGATTTTCATCCTGTAGGAAATTTTTCGTATCGCACCTTCATCTCTCTTCGGATAAATTTTCTTATCCTCTCGAGAATCACTTTGCATCCTGACTGCAGCTTATTCATGGCATATGTAAGAGACAGTGTGTATTGCGCGAAGTGACAATTTACCACGATTGACGCGACGGATACGGACCGATAGTGAGATCGTTGCGAATACGGTCGATTTCTCGTATCACGTTTAACGCGCGTCTAACGTCGACGAGGCCTTCACAACCACAATACTCTGCGAACCACAATAGTTTGTGTCACACCAAGTGCGTAAATCACGCGGCTGATAGACGCGATGCGAGGTAATCCACTTTCTGGGGCGGTATTTGCCCGCATCCCTCGTGCGTTAATCGTGATTAATACGTCGGCTTATCGGCTTGCTAGATGCTATAGTCTTACGAAACAAACTCGACGGACCGGTAAACGTGGCGAGAATTGGGCACGTATTGCAACCATCTCACATATCGGACCGTATTCCGTATGTAAGTAAATTTCAATTCAAACCCGAGAAGAAATTCCGAGAAAAACGCAACTTCCCTTACACGTACCGTGAGACAGTTGCAACAGAAATATTAAATAACTGGCGAAAAATTAAAGAAGATTATCAAAAAGAAAAAAATTAAGATAGCCGAGACGGAAGAAATGCTACAGAAGGAAGGCACCATACGTAACATGTAAAGGAGAAATTAAGAAGAGTCCTTCAAAGAGTCCTGACTTTTCCCGGTTTTCCAGGTCTGTAGCAACCCTGATATAAGTGCAAAGTTGTCGCCGGGAAATTAATATTATACTATTTCATTTATATAATCAGAAAAATGTTATGCTATAGGTATATATTTCCTTTATTATACTAGTTCATTTATGAGAATTACGAGTGCTTGGAAAATTTTATGTAGAAACTTTATGAAAACATGTACATACTGTATTGCTAATTGGCTATATGTATTCCAATGCAAATGTTTGTATTCTGACCGGTATGGCAAAGTCGTCGCAGAAGATATCCTTCAAAATAATATTAGATTACCAGATCAGTTGATTACTTAGAAATGACCACATCTCATTTTTTATATATAATCAGAGATACATTCTGTTTATAATACCATGCGTATTCATCATCTTACATATAATTTTTTATCTCGTGCTAAATGTATAAATGAGATGCACATTCGATCCATCGTTCAGTATCTCATAAGTAAACGTGAAAACAGAAGAAACGATGGTTCGATTAAACTACATCGTGACGATCATTGTTATTACTCTGATTTGTGTTTTAGCGCAAGAATTGTACTCCGATCGATACGACAAAGTTGACGCAGAAAATATCCTTCAAAATAATAGATTACGAGATCAATACTATAATTGTTTTATGGGAAAGGCGCCATGCATAACGGCAGATGCAAAATTCTTTAAAGGTATACACGATTTCAACGAGTAAATTTTCACGATAGACTCTTTAACCCTTCGCAGTAATATCTCCTGAATATTTTATGTTACTCACACAGGGAGCAAAATGATCAAAATATTTTAATTAATTGTCGTATTTATAGCTTCAATTCTCTAAAATCACAAAAATTACTGAACATACTTTAAACATTGTAGAATATGGAAATTCAAGATATTTTTAAAATTTTTATTTTAACATATTTAAAAAAATCGCAAAGGCAGACATCCAAGGAGCAACATGCGGTTGAAAGTATAAAAAGAGTGTTTTAAATTTCGGACAGTTGAAGTCCTATTTTAAAAAAAGACCTTAGAAATATAAAAAAACCTCATATCTTTTTGGGATCTTCTAAATGATCAACCCTTCATGATCACCTCCAGGTGACTATAAAGAATTAATCAATTAGAAATCAAATACTCCTCAACAACATATATGTATTAGTAGATATATGTATTAAAAGAATAATTTATGATTGTATAAGTAAGAAACTTCTGGCAAAAAAAATAACCAAAATAGTATTTCGCAGTTAATTTCGAGAGAACATATTTTTAGCCGATGTAAAGTTGGCACCCCATTTTGAAAAAATCAATATTTTATACACAGTTCCGTTGCACCCACAATAGTTCTACAATTCCTGCTAAGTTTTAACAATAGTTCCGCTGATTTAGCTAAAAAAAAAAAAAAATTTATAAATGAAGTGTCAACTTCGCGTAGCACCCCAAGTATCGCAAAAATTAATTTTTATCACGAAATTCTAAAGTTCTCGAAGAGTTCTACAGTTGCTGATAGGTTTCAGCGACAGTTCCGACCTCTAAGTATTTTTAAATAATTTTTTAAAGTGAGAACCAGCACCCCACCACAAGAGTAAAGTACCATGAAACAGTCAGTTCCCGCCGACTTTTGCTATTTTCCTACAGTTCTACGATAGTTCTAACGCTTTCTGTAGATTTTACAAAGAGTTCTGGCCTCTACGTATTTTTAAACAATTTTTTAATGTCAGAGCCAACACCGCACCACAAGAATAAAATACCACGTAACAGCCAGTTATCGTTTTATGGCAGTCCTTGATAATTTTCGCATACCAGTGACTGTTTTAAAAATAGGAACCTTGATAAAAACCTTTAGAAAGAGTTAGAATTTTTGCAAAACAATAGGGAAATAGCAAAAAGTCGGCGGGAACTGTTACGTAGTATTTTACTCTTGTAGTAGAGTACCAGCTGACATTAAAAAATTGTTTAAAAATACGTAGAAGCCAGAACTCTGTGCAAAACCTACAGAAAGCGTTAAAACTATTGTAGAAATGTAGAAAAATAGCAAAAAGTCCGCGGGAACTGGCTGTTACGCGGTACTTTACTCTTGGGGTGGGGTGCTGGTTCTCAATTTAAAAAATTGTTTAAAAATACCTAAAGGCCAGAACTGTCGCTGAAACCTATCAGGAACTGTAGAACTCTTCGAGAACTTTAGAATTTCGTGATAAAAATTGATTTTTGCGATACTTGGGGTGCCACGCAAAGGTGGCACCCCATTTATAAAATTTTTTTTTTTACCTAAATCAGCGAAACTATAGTTAAAACTTAGCAGGAACTGTAGAACTATTGTGGGTGCAAACAAAACTGTGTATAAAATATCGATTTTTTCAAAATGGAGTGCCAAATTCACACCGGCATATTTTTATTTGGGAAACTCAATCAGATAGATATGTAATTAAGAAATTTGAAAATTGCGAGAATTGAGATGTTAACATACTTTAAATCTTTCTTAATAACTGACTTATGCCCATTTCTACCAATGTGGATTAACTTTAATCTCGGTTCAACTTACTCTTCACCTTTTTCTAATCTTTAGAACTAGAAAAAGACAAAGAGTAAGTTGAACCGAGATTAAAGTTAATCTGCGTTGATAGAAACGGGCCTTAGAAGTGCATCAGAAAGATGCTATTTGTGTCACATTACTTTTAATTTTCTTCGATGTAAAACAAGGATAGAATAACACAAATAATGCTGATAGCATTTCTCGAACCCTAAATATTGTAGTTCAAAGATTGTATTATTTAAATGTAACGTATATTAGATGCAGAAGCAGATTAATATTAATAGATATGCAAAAGGAATATTATATTTAAATAATATAATCTGAAGCCATCAAAATATTTTGTATCGTTGATTTCATAATAAATATTCTAATTTCT